ACACACACACCCCCCTACCCCTTGAAACAGAAAAATGATCAAAGGCTTCCCCCAGCTTGATGTTCTTCTAATCTCTTTGGTCCATTTGAATGACAATGACCTCGAATATGCCTTTAAATATTTCGATCAATAGATTGCCATGTAGATGGCTCAATAGCCTTGGGCCAGGGCTCTCGCTTTTTCTGAGATTTCATTTTGCATTCTCTATGAGGAAGTGATGCTGTCCCATGTGGTCAGAGACTGGGAGCCCTTCAGTAGCAGGTGCAGTGAAGCGCTGGTCAAGGAACACAGGGGCTACCTCACTATCCACATAACCCTGAACATGTGGAGTTTCCAGGCCCTTGTTCCAGGAGCAGAATTATAACATTTCCCTGATGGCTTTCAAAACACCTCAGTGACCAAAACATGTCAGTGTCAGACCGAAAATATACTTCCTCAGTTTAACGAACTACAGAGGAAAAGGAAGGGCCTCTTGTAAGATTGTGGGGTTTGATTTAAGCCACGGCTCCTCTTTGGAAGCAGTTACAAACACAAGGCTGCCTTTGAAGAGTCAGTTTCCTAAACAGGCAAAAACCACTTTCCCGCGAGACTTTTACTTGACGAAAATCAATAACTGATAATGCAGCTGCAGGCAGGGAGCAGGTTCCATGAGTCACAACTGAGGCATTACTGAGGGCCTGTTGTGCGCAAGACGCAGTGCTGGGCACTGAGGGAGAAACAGAAGAAATGGGGTGCAGGTGAGGACATAGAGCCCCCAAAAGATAACCAGCAGTCCCAGGCAGTAACTGCTGTGTGTCTGATACGAGCATTGACAACCAGATTCATCTCACACTGTCTCTGGGTCTGCCTCCTTCCCAACTTTCTTTTAATTTTTTTTTTTATTGTGGTAAAATATACATAACATTAAATTGACCATTTTAACCATTTTGAAGTATGCAGTTCAGTGGCACTAAGTACATTCACGCTGTTGTGCAGTTATCACCACCACCCATCTCCACAATGGTTTCATCTTTCCAAACTGAAACTCGGCCCTCATTTCCCTCCTGAGCTCCTAGCCCCCGGCAACCACCATTCTACTTTCAGTTTCTATGAATCTGACTATTTTATGCATACCTCACATAAGTGGCATCATAGAGTATTTATCTTTTTATGACCAGCTTATTTCACTTAATATTAACACCCTCATGGTTCATCCCTGTTGTGGCATGTGTCAGGATTTCTTTCCTTCCAAGCCTGAAGGATATTCCATTGTATGAACACACCACATTTTGTTTATCCATTCAGCTGTTGCTGGACAGCCTTGATTGCTTCTTCTGCCTTTCGGCTACTGTGAATAATATTGCTGTGATCATGGGTGTACACATGTCCCCCTAAGATACTGATTTTAATTATTTTGGGTATACAACTGTATGTGGGATTCCTGGATCATAAATTCTATGTTTAATTTTTTGAAGACCCGCCATACTGGTTTTCAGAGTGGCTGCTCCATCTTGCGTTCATCTCTTGTCTTTCCATACCTGCTACTCCAAAAGGCCGACGGAGCCCACAGGTGTGCTTTTTGCCCTCCTTCAGCTCCATGTGGCCCACCCGGACAATCTGACACACGAGGCTCATGCGGGGACGAATGAGGTCTGCACTGCTGAGGTCCTACAGGGGCAGAGAGCGTGCAAAAGGGGTCATGCCACATCCCTGTGTCACCTTCATTTCTCTTCTCACTCTGCAAGAGAACACCGCTCAGGGCATATTTTCTAATGCTGAAATATCAGCACGACTCCTCTCTTCCCCCTACCCATCCAGAGCTATCATGGCATCAGAGAAACATGACTTTTCAAAATGGGACATTTTTTTTTATTCCCCAGTTCCTACTTCAAATGCATAAATTAGATTATATTCAATCTAAAGTCCCTATTAGATTAATTCATCTATTGAAGCCAGGTTAAAAAAAAAATCAGGACACTTGTCATTGTTACTTTATTTCTTGCGAAGACACATCTGAGCACAGGATGCGTTTCAGTGTCAAGTGAAATTAAAACTTGCAGGACACTGACATGTATTGGGGAGCCACACGTGCTGGTGGTATTTCATTTCATCTTCCAAACAATCCTGTGAGGCAACTGTCGCACACAAATTTAAAAGTACTGTTTTCTGTAATCATGCGTCTGTTTTATAAGAGGCATCCATTGAGAGCGTCTGTGTACGTTGATTAATGAGCGATGTGCAGATGAAATATCTCTGGGGGGGGTTTTTTGTGGCTCATGTTCTATAATTGTTTATATTCCTAAGAGTGGGTGAGTAAACCCATGAATAAGCTCACATATTTCATATACTTCAACATCAGAAATAATTTAACTGCATCTCAAATCTTTTTCATGAAACAGCTATCCAAGCTCTCTTTACGGAATTAAGAATTACATTTTAAACAATCATTCCAAATCCATCCTTTGTAATTTAGTTCACTCAGGTCTCCAAGACAGAACTATATGCCAATGAGAACATCACCCTTGAATTTGTACTCTACGTTTTATAAGGCTTCTATTAAAGAGAAAGATAAAGGCTTCGGGTGACTGGGTACAGACGTTGTGGCACATTGATATTATTTAGACAGAATGCAGTCATTTATAAATGAGGTTTTTAGAGGCTGTTTACTGGCAAAGGAAATGGTTACCACATTTTACGTAAGTGAAAAAGCTGGACATGAAATGTACATGCGAGAAGATCCTAATTGGTGGGAGGGGTGGGGGATGGGGGTGAATTGCAGCTATGTGGTATTGATTAGAAGATGGATTAACCAAAGATTCAATAATACCTTTTATAACGTGTTTTCCTAATGTACACATTACTAATAGATGCCTTTTGATGTTAGGGAAAAAAACTCGCGTATCTCAGAAATGAGGAAATACTGTGTGTTGCGGGGGAGGTTGTGGGAAGAATTCTAAGAGCTTTTTTATCTCCGTTTACCAGGTGGTGAAAATATAGATGGGTCGGTGCAGGGAGAGTTATCAGACCATGCTTGTCCTGGGGTGGGAGAGTAATCGAAGGAATGAATAACAAGGCGGAATGAATGAATGAGCCTGTACTGGGACCACCGCACCTTCCTATCGCATCATTTGGCGCTCTACCCTAGGCTCCGCTTTCCTTGTCATAAGAGTGGTAAGAGAACACAGAGATAAAATATGGGTACGGTTTAAAGGAAAAAAGGGAGAAAAGGAAGGGAGTCTCTCCTTTAGGCCTAATGGGAGCTGGGGAAGCCCACCCATTCAGGCTGCTCAGAGCAAGTGGCAGTAGCTCTAGGCCATTTCAAGTACTGATGTCTTGAAAAAGCGAGAGAACTTCAAGAAAATCTTAGCCCAAGAGAAACAGAGTCACCATGCCCCAAGAGACAGCCCAATATATTTCCTTGCCCCTTGGTCCATATACAGAAGCACTCCTCCTGCCTTGGGCTGGGGGAGGGAGGTCATGAAATATATGCAGGCCAAAAAGTTTAGATCCCGGCTTTGCTGAGCTATCACTTCTCTCTGAAATGCTCTTCCCCTTTATCTTCGTAGCTCACTCCCTCATCAACTTCAAGCTCTTGCTCAAAAGGCTCTGGCCTACAGAGTTCTTCCCTGACCTACCCTCTCCCAGCCCCCAACCTCCCAATCCCCCCTAAGCACTTCTGATTTCTAACATTCTACACAATTGACTCATTTACTGGGTTATTCTTTATTACTGTCTTTCCCATTCATACAAAAGCTCCTTGGGCACAGGCATTTTTTTCCCTGACAGGTTCACGGATATATCTCAAGTGCCCACATCAGTGCCTGGCATCTAAGAAGTGCTCAGCAAATATCTGTTGAAAAATGAGTGGGTTATTCCTACTAGAGGAATTACGGTAATTTTTATTTTCATCATTTCATCTTTCACGTTTTCCATATACTTATCCTGTGTATCCGCTAATATCCTAAACAAAGAAAACGATGACACAGAAGGTAGGACTTACAGTGAAGACCACTTGGAGGTTATTAAGCTTCTCGATTTCCTTGGGCATCCCATTACTGCCCCAGCGAATTAGATAGTTCTCACTGGTGAAGGAGAAAACAATGATTTTTAATGAGGGGCTAACTGGGGATGGAACTGACCCCAGTACAGACTAAAAGGGTAAAAGGCAGGCCCAGAAAAGCTCAGTTAAATTCGCCAGGCAGATGTAGCCCACTAATGAACATTGTCTGGTCTCCTGGCTTTGGAGAAGTGTGCTCAGATCCATGAGACACACCTATGATGGACCCGTGACCAGCATTCCTGAAGACGGGACAGATGCAGATTCTACGGGGTCTTTTCCCCACCTCCAATTCTCTGTCTAAAAGTTTCAGCTTTGCTGAATCAAGAATATAATTTTATAATAATCATTCTATAGCCATCCTCTGGAATCCACATCATGACACTCAAATAAAATTTGTATTTTGGAAATAAATAATTT